GTTTAGGGGCGCTAACTCGCAAAATAAGGTGATTTTAGGTGGTTCTTAAAAACTTGCAAGTTATTTTTTGGGGAGGGGGTGGGAGTAATTTTTGGAGGGGGTTCGTCCCCACGCACCCCATGGATACGCCACTTCTCTCAACTCAGACAATTCAGGAATCCAGATTTTATTATCTTTTAATAAGAAAGATTCCCGAAAATTAAATTTTTTCCTCAACCGGGGTGGGGAGGGGGTATAGGTTTCCCAGATGGAGGGGGCACGGACCCACGCTTGTCGGGGAGGTTGGACCCTTCGTTGAGGAGCGCTGCCTCTGATTCTGGGTACATTCAAGCATGAATTGAAATCACTCTTAACCCAAACAGAGGCAACCCACATAAAGATACGCATTCAACGCGTTCACACAAGGCATTACACCTAGTTTAAACGTTATTTAATATTAGCCTAAAACTAAAATACAAACCTCCATGCCGTGGGTTCATCCTGTGTGTCTTCAATACTCTGTTGACTATGGATTTGCCTGCTTGGTTGTAGAGGAACTCATACTCGAAATGGTCTTTATGTTTCTGTCTTCTAATATGAACATATTTGTATTGTATATAGTTGCTTTTTGATTGAGGCTTAAGGTAGTAGGGTTTTACTGTGAGTGTCCCAGACAAGAAAACATAGTTACTTACTGATCTGTAAAATAAAAATATTTACTCTGCAACTATTTAACAGAAATGTAAATGTTATTGTTTTTGGTAAGTTACTTATCCTTTGGTAAAGAGTAGGTGAAAATGTATTAGTCGGGTAAAAATACAAGATACAGAGATACAAATTTCTTTATTGTCCAAAACACAGGTAGAGATATATTGACATACTCCCATACAAGTTTGGTTGGCAGTATATATGTCAGCTTCATGATAACAATGGTAATAATAATAGTGATAATAATGGCAGCTGCGAATGACAACAATAACAATAATAGGTGGTGTATTAACTAGCCCAAAATTTGAGCTGAAAAAAATCCTACTAATAGCTGAAGACGGCCCACTTATATGACATGCATTTTTTCTATACTTTCACACTGATGGCTCTTTATGTTTTTAATCTCAAAACCCAATACAGTAGAACCCCTCATTTACGTACGGGACGGGCCTAGAGGAGTTCGTAAAAATTATTCGTACGAAAAATTGGAGGTTGTGTGAAATTCCTATGTATTTACAATAATGATATGCTAGGCTGGGCTACACTAGGCCTGGACTGAAATTTTGTTGGATTGGAGCCAAAACTCCCAACTTGTGCTCAAAAGAAATTCAAAATAAATATCATAATAATGTACAGTACTATGCATACTGTACTTAATAATGTGTATACAAACTTTATTCCCTCTTTCACAGACAATAATATATGACTTATCTTCTAGCTTACGAAGAAACACAGCCCCGCGTGCGCCGCAACAGGGCGAGTTTAAACAGAACAATGTTTTTCACTCGATCCATGTGCTTGTGGCGTCAAGTAAATACCTGTACAGAATAACCCGGAAACCAGGGTGACAGGGTTCATAACTTTTTAAAAGAAGAGCGCTGATTAGCTGTAGACACGGTGCTTGGGCTTTTTTTTTGTATGCAATACGATTGTTCTACGTCTACATTAACATTTAGGTAATAAATAAAGTTATAAAGACAATGTGGGTGTCGGTGTCTTATTTAGATTAACGTTAGTTAGATTTGATAAATAAAATCCATTTATAATTAGGGGGTTCATAAAATTACGATATGAGTAAATCATGCACTCATCGATATGCCGACAACTTACGCACTGGTCGGAGTTTTCCCACGGCTGCTGACATGAAGTATGATCACCGTCTTGAATGTAGGCGTATTCAAAGCGCATTATCTGCGTTTTGTATTGTAGTAGAGATCGCTGATAATGTACCGCAAACCGTCTAAGACCGAGTGATTAAACTCCAGCACGCGCCCAACGATTAATTCTTGACACGCGTGTGTGTTTTGTACATGAAATAGGAACTTTATTTTATGACAACAAAAAAACTATTTATGTACAATCTTGAGATACCAAAATGCTATATAAATGCCCTAAAAATATGCTCTAATTTAGTTTTAAAAGAGTAATTTTGAGCATTTTAAAAGATTTACGCATGCGTACACGCCTACCATTATGCTCAAGCGCAGGGTAATGGCACAAAAAGTTGACTCCTGATAGGAATACAATGTCAGGAACTCAAAATATGTACAAAACATAATTTCTAGCTTCAGTACGTCCTGTGAGCATGAAAATGAGCACACCGTGCGTAAAAATTATGGAAAGTTTTGGAATGCCGAAAATGACTTGAAATGTGCTTCAAACCATCTAAAAGGCAATATTGAGCATTTTCAAATTTTAACGCACGCGTACACACATGGAACGACACGTGCACAGACAGTAATGGCACACAAAATTAAATGTTGTCAAGTGTAATTTAAAAACGCCTGTTGGTCAGTAATGCCACACAAATTTTCCCTATATATGAACTATATATCAGTCTGATAGTGTCTAAATAGTCTGCCGTCCTATGTCGGAGAATTTCACAAATCGGTATTAATGCCACACAAATTTTCCCTTCATATGAACTATATATCATTCTAATAGCATCGAAATACAGTCTGCCGCCCTTTGTCAGAAATTTTTCACACATTTGAAGAGAGAAAGATGAGGGGTCCAAAAAATCGTTTCATTTTGACCATATGACGCCATCAAAATGAAAAATTAAGGGCATAATACCTAAAGAGAATTGTCTCAGCTATAACACACTCAAATTTGAGAGTTGGTCGATGAAGGATAAGCAAGATATGGTCAAATCCGTATAAAAATTATTACATCATATATAAAAATTCATTTAAAAAAAAAATCAGATGGCAATATAATGACGTCACAATGTCCGATCAGCCAAAATGATCTATAAAATCATATCTACAACTCATTTGGGGTCACCTTTTATCCTAAGGAGCTATAACTGATTTAAAATAGGCATGATTTTGAGCATTATAACAATGTGACGCATGCGTACGCGCACGATATGATGCGCGCACGGAGGCGGCGGGGGCGGAGACGGCGGCGGAGGAGGAGGCGGCGGAGGAGGAGGAGGAGGAAACGAATCACCAATGAGTAATAAAGAAAAACAGTATGTACATAAATATAAAACTACTGTGTCTGCTGTGGAGCTGCCAGCTACCAAGGGGTATCTTCTTATCCTTCAAATTTCTCTTAACAGTATCCTTAAATCTTAGTCTTGGTCTACCAATGCTGCGGGAGCCGTTCTTCAGTTGTGAATAGAGTATTTGTTTAGGTAGTCTGTTATTATCCAATCTGTTGACATGACCAGCCCATCTCAGGTTTCTTTGGATTAAGAGTTCATACATACTTGGTAGATTAGCCTGGTCGAGGATATCCTTGTTTGGGACAAAATCCCACCATTTGACATTTAGGATTTGACGCAAGTGCCGCATCATGTAGGTGTTAAGTTTACGTGCTGCAGCTTTGCAGACAGGCCATGCCTCTGCACCGTACAACAGTGTGGAGAGTACAGTGGCACGATATACTGCGCATTTGGTTTTGAAGGTTAGACCTTTGTTGTACTATACCTTCTGCTTTAATCTACCGTATGAGATGGAGGCGTGTGACATCCTGATGCAGATTTCTTCATCCATCTTGTTGTTGTTCATAACTGTGGATCCAAGGTATTTGAATTTCGACACTTTAGCTAGTTGTTGGTTGTCAATATAGATGTTTTCACCGGTATCATGATATCCCAGGGGTGGCGGATACATCATTTCTGTCTTTTTAATATTGATTTTTAGTCCGAATGCTTGAGCCGAGCTAGCAAATCTACTTATTATTTCCTGAGCATCATCATGGTTGTGTGCAATAAATGTTGTGTCATCTGCGAACATAAGTTCTCTTACTAGTATCTTCTGGGTTTTGCTCACAGACTTGTACTGGTTGACATTGAACAAGTCTGCTCCAGGTCTGCTCTGGATCCATACACCCTTTGCACAGTCCTTGAATGCATGATTGAACACGACAGACAGGAATATGGAGAAAAGTGTGGGAGCTAGTACGCAACCTTGTTTTACACCGTTATTGACCTCAAAATGATCGGAAAGCTCTCTCTTTAGTCTTAGCGATGCCTTCATACCTGTGTGTAATGCGCTAATAAGGTTGGTAAAATGAGTGGGGCAGCATATTTCCAAGAGAATTTTCCACAAAGTTGTCCTATCTACTGTATCGAACGCTTTGGTAAAGTCAACGAAGATCATATAGAGTGGCATATTCTGCTCTACACATTCCTCCTGAATCTGTTTGAGAGCGAAGATCATATCCACTGTTCCTCTCCCACTTCTGAATCCACACTGAGCCTCAGGTAGAAAGTTTTCAGCATAAGAGGAGAGTCTGTTAAGCAGAATGCGTGCAAAGACCTTACCAGGTATCAATAACAGTGATATTCCTCGGTAGTTGCCACACATTCAACGGCCTACTTTTTTGAAGATAGTCACTAGCTGAGCGTCCTTCCAATCCTGTGGGACCTCAGCATTTTTCCAGACCTCCCTGATGATGTCACGAAGTGAAGTTAGCAGTGTGGTACCTCCTCTCTTAATGATTTCAGGATGGATTCCATCTGAGTCAGGTGATTTACCTTCACACAGCGTCTTTACTGCCTCCATAACTTCATCTAAGTCAGGGTACTTATCCATCCAGTTTTGTGTAGGGGATTGCTCCATACTTTCCGTCACATTTGGGTCAATGTTTGGTATCTCGTTTAGCAGTGCTCTGAAGTGTTCGGTCCAACTGGTGAGAAGATCTTGTTTCTCTGTGAGCAGTGTTGTGTTGTCAATGGCAAGCAGTTGATCAGAGTGACTCACACTGGGGCCCCAGACCGCATTCATACTTTGGTAGAAGCCTCTGATGTCATTAGTGTCAGCAAGAACTTGAAGCTCTGCAGCTTTGGCCATCCACCATTCATTCTTCAGTTTTCTGCATCGATTTTGTAGGAGTTTACTGCGAGTTTTGAATTTAGCCTTATTAGATCGGGTGTTCCTGTTGAGCATGTTGGTTCTGGCTTGATTCCTGTCATCCAGCACTTGGACAAGTTCCGCACTGTTCTCATCAAACCAGTCCTCCTGTTTTTTGGTTGCAA